GGAGCTTTTTGCATCAGCACAAATTATGGCTCAATTCCTTCTCATACTTCAAGACTTATAAGGACTCTTCCATGTATGTTTGGTTGGTTGCATAGCTAAGTAGTTGATTTGCAATGTATTAAAGAAAAAAAGATTACTTCTTCAAGTTTCAGAAGTCAATATATGCATAGAATAAGTAGATATTTATGAAGCTTATTTTAGTGAAGGCCACTGTGCAATAGTGAGACACCCAGAGGAACAAACTCACTGCACAAGCAAAGGTCAAAGACTAGCTTGCTAAACATTATTCTATAACAGGCATCCAATGCATAGAAAAAGAAAATCAGAGTGTATATGAAACAAAGGATAATGAAAGAATTCAGTTTCACTGCTTCTAGAAGCCTTTCATTAAAACTAATAAATTATTTCAGTCTGCATATGCCTATGCTGTTAGTATTTCGAAAGAAAAGTTTTTAGACAGAAACAAGGTGAAAATAAACCATTTTTATAATAGAAAAACTCCAAATCCAGAGACTTATTAAAAGAAATTTAAAAAAAAATAAAACTTAGCAAAGATGCTTTCTGAACAGATATAAAATAAACATTCAACACTGGCATTTTGGTTGGGATCAAAGCATAGTATCTGTTTTCATTTTAAATGGGAGAAGGCATCTCGTCCCAGGGATTCTAACCCTGTGGCAGTGCCTTCCTCATTGCACGAAGTGAGGTGGGGTTGGTATAATATCAATACTAGTGTGACAGTGGATGCAGGGACTGGACAATTTTTGTCCTAGGCCCATATATGTATCTGTAATGACCCCCTTTCCTATAAAAAAATAGATCCTTGTGTCACATCCTGCCTAAGTGGGGAGATCAGATACATATCACTTAAAAATTAAATGAGCATAAGTGGTTAAAATAAAACTGTTAAGTATCTTTAATAAATGTTTTAAAATTTTGGAACTCCTTTTAAAAAAAATAAACAAATGAATAAAAACAATAATACTGCCATTTTTTCTGTTTTGACTGGAGAACATGTGGACAGAACATGTCTAGATATTTATACTACATGGGGATCAACAACAAAAAAAAAATTATCTAGGATCCTGCTGTCTGCTCAGAGATTAAGTTAAAAGATTAAAGGAATAAGTACTTTGCCATATGGACTTGGATATGAAATGAGTGAAACTGAATCATTTTACATCATTTATTTCATTACATACCCCAAAATATTGAATAGAAAAAGAAAATAATAGAAAAGTCAGTGCAAGAACTCAAAATCTAGTCAGACAACTCAAATAGACGCAATACTTTCTCCACTGTAGACATAATTTGAGAGTATCTGCCACAGTTGAAGGGTTAGCATATTGGCCTTACAAACCATTGAAAGTGAGTTCAATTCTTGCTGAATGTTTTAAAGGTGGGAGTTGGTGCCAAAATTGGTTTTATCACATAAAATGTTTTTATTTATACAGGTCCAGAGTATTTTTCTGACTCCAAGAATACCAGTTACTTTTTAAACTGGGACATTTTAGTAGTTGGCTGCTCAGTTGCTTTATAGGAATGACCACAGACTTGTTGCAAAATTGACACACACAAAAAAAAAAAAAAAAAAAAAAAAAAAAAAAAGGAAAAAAATCACATATAATTAGTTCAATTTTGCTAAAATTTATATTATTAAAAAAGAATTGCAGAACAATTTCATATAAAAATTATTTCCTTCCATTATATAGAAACAGAGTTATTTGTTTTTAATGTTGTGTTTAGGGTCAAGCAAAGTTGAATAGTGCCTTTGCTTGACACACTCTGTGACTGAGAGGTCCAAAGCACATCAGATCTAATGTTTGTTTACATTTGTACAAACACACACACACACATGCAAAAATCAACTGAAAAATGTTCAGTGACAAAATATACACTTGCACTTGAAAAATCTAATTGCAAAAACAAAAAAAACACCCAATATTATTTAATTTTTGATATCTAAATAAACATCAATCTGAACCAAAAGGAATTTTTAAATAAAAGATAAATATATAAATTAATCAGTTTGTCTGACGATCGCAAAAGCGTGAAACCCAGGGTCACAAACTCACATTAATCAAACCAAATATATTTATATATATATATAGATAGATAGAGATATACGAGATTGGGAGGTCGACTATTATGTAAATTCATTGCAAATTCCTGTCCCTACAGTATCTAAAACAAAGAATGCTCATCCCACCTTACTCCTTATAATAAAAAAAATGAAATATCGTAATTTGGAATGTTTAAGCCATAGTAATATTCGAAAAAAAGACCCCCAGATTATAAATTGCAAAGTACAAAACATTTTTTACATTTAAGAACTCACGTGGTATGAACATATATTGTTTTGTCTTCCGTAGAGTGAACTTACTATAGCTTCACATAGAAAACTGTACAGCCTATTAAGTTTTATAAAATTTAATATTTTTTAACATATTTGTGATATGGAGAGTTTAATAAAAAAAAAATGAAATAATTATTTCTAGTCGTAGTGCCAACCGTAAAAATCCACCTTTTGATCTGACATTTTTGGTAAAGGCCTGAATCCAATTCTCCCTGAGTCTTAACTACTCTCTCCTCGTCAAAAAAAATCCATCTTTAAATCAACAATTTAATTCACTAGTCTATTTTCCCGTGGGACAGTTCTGAACCTGGACCTCAGGTGTCTAAATGTAATGTTCGTTTTGCCTGCATGCTGCTGATGCTATTGCTGCTGTCACGCTTGACCACCTTCACCACCGCTTCTTCATTTTTTTTCTTACTGCTGCTTGACATCTGAATCAGTACTAATTACCTATTTTATGACACCCATATGGTATCTAATTCTTTGCTAGGCCTTCTGATTACAATAACAGAGATAATTTTACTCAGGATCTAAAAAATCTCATCCTCCACCCACAAAAGAAAATATTCAGACAGACTAATGTCTAAACTCAGTTTACACCGGGGTTGAATAAGACTGAAGAATTTCGACAGTTGGAATAAGCTTATTCACGCATGAGGTGATTTGGGATTTTATTATGCATTAATTATTTGCTCCGTAATAATATATACATTGAGCTCTTTGTGGGAATCAGATTTAATATTCTATATTACTAGGATCCACTTGGAATATATACCAACGGATTTATTACCTTTTTATATATATATATATATATATATATATATATATATATATATAAGAAAAATTTGGAAAAAACAAACAAAATCCTTAAATGCAATTATGTTGTTTAAAATGAATGAAATGTCGACGTCTGACGTTTCGGTTTAATAAACCTTTTTCAAGACAATATTCATTAAAATACAATTCAGTTCAATTTGACAAAGACGATGGACATAAACAACAAGTCTTATCCAAAACAGATAACTGAAAATTTTTAAAATGATCAGCTTTCCGTTTAGCATGGTCACGTTGTCGTCACATGGGCGACGCTTTCAAAACGTATTCCTAAAAATTTTTGATTATTTTGAATGAAAAAGAAAATGAAAAGAATTCTATTAGGATCTAAAATTTTTATGTGTATGCTTGTCGAGCATTAATCTCGCTTGTCCCGAAGAAGGTTTATTAAACCGAAACGTCAGACGTCGACATTTCATTCATTTTAAACAACATAATTGCATTTAAGGATTTTTGTTTGTTTTTTCCAAATTTTCTTCATTCTGTCGGATCTATATCCATTTACATTACACACACACACACACACACACACACACACACACACACACACACACACACACACACACACACATATATATATATATATATATATATATATATATTTCAATAAAGGTGCAATTAATTTACAAATTCATGAATTATTCATACAAAAAACAAATACAAAGGTTAATGATTTAATTGGAGAAATCCATCGTCGCGAACAATTCAAATAATATACAAAAACCCCGAACCTGTTTAAGAAGGAAAAGATCCTTGTTTCTATAAATTTCTGTTGCATGAGTTCTTATTATTTTTACAAGCTTTCGTCTGTTCTTACAGACATCCTCAGGTATGGAATAGATTTTTGTTCTTGTTTTTTCTCTCAGTAATAAGAGTAATCTTATTACTGAGAGAAAAAACCAGAACAAAACAAGAACAGACGAAAGCTTGTAAAATAATAAGAACTCATACAACAGAAATTTATAGAAACAAGGATCTTTTCATTCATAAACAGGTTCGTTTTTAGATATTATTTGAATTGTTCAAGACGATGGATTTCGCCAATTAAAATTATCATTAACCTTTTGTATTTGTTTTTTGTATGAATATATGAATATATATATATATATATATATATATATATATATATATATATTCTGTAGATTTGGGCAGCATGTTTGATTAAGAGATGTTTAGCAACATGTTTTCATCAAAATATTTTAAAATCGTACAGTATATAACCTTAGCGTTTTTTCAATTCACAAGTAAAATTCAATTTTCAGATGAACACAAAATTTTTGTCTTCAATAATTGATGAAAGCAACAATTTTTGTGTCTTAGAAAATCAAGATCCCGATGACGATATTGTACGAATGACGAAAGTACTCGGAATTAAATGAAATGCATCAACTTGGGAATTTCCATTCTTCCTTTATCTTTAATTACGAGAGGATCCTATTAAAAATAAATAGACAAAACTTGTGTAAATTATTCAATGAGACATGTATCAACAACACATAAACAAACATATATATATATATATATATATATATATATATATATATATATATATATATATATATATATATAGGTTTTACTCTCCTGGAAGTTGCGCAGATTACAAAAGTTACTTGAAGGATACATGCATATTACAACTCATGCAAACCCAGAGACTGACTAAAAAATCATAATATGTCGTGTCTTATATATATATATATATATATATATATATATATATATATATAAATTTAAATATGCGTCAAATAGGGTGGAATGTTTCTAAGAAGTAATCATGACCTGACATTTAAAAATATACTTTTTTTTTTTACATATGATTCATTTTTGCTTTGCTAACAACCACTTTAATTTTAAAAAGGAAAGTAATTTCTTCTTTCTTTCTTTCTTTCTTGGTTGGTTGGTTGGTTGCCTGTTTACAATATTATATCCTTTTCTTTCTTTCTTTCTTTCTTCATTTCTTTCTTTCTTGGTTGCTTGCTTACTTGCTTGGTTGGTTGCCTGTTTTTTTATATATTTTCTTTCTTTCTTTCTTTATTTTCTTTCTTCATTTCTTTCCTTTTGGTTTGGTTTTTCCTTTTCTTTCTTTCTTTCTTTCTTCATTTCTTTCTTTCTTGCTTGCTTGCTTACTTGCTTGGTTGGTTGCCTGTTTACAATATTATATCATTTTCTTTCTTTCTTTCTTTCTTTCTTTCTTTCTTTCTTTCTTTCGTTCTTTCTTTCTTTCTTGCTTGCTTGGTTGGTTGGTTGGTTGCTACTTTAAAATATTATATCATTTTCTTTCTTTCTTTCTTTCTTTCTTTCTTTCTTTCTTTCTTTCTTTCTATTTTCTGAAGTTCTTTTTTCCTTCCTAGCTTCTTCTTTTCTTGATTTCTTCCTTCGATTCTTTCTTTCTCATTCTCTCTTGTTTGTTTTCTTGTGTGCTTCTTTCTTTTTCTTTCTGCTTTCTTTTTCCAGCCACATTCAAATGTTTCTCCTTCCTCTCATTCACTCTCTCTCTCTCTCTCTCTCTCTCTCTCTCTCTCTCTCTCTCTATTTCCACTTCCTTCTGAATTCCGCCATTTTTGCCCGATAGGACGTAAACAACACCTTCCATTCCACTCGGCGCCGGCCCCGCACTTCTAACACTCGACGCGATGCACATATGCGAATCAATTTGCTCGAACACATTCCAAATGCCCCCCCCCAACCCCCGATAAACGACTCTCCCATCCACCAACTTAGAACCCAAGTTTCATATCAATTACCGGACAATCCCAGCTCCTATTCTCATACTTAAGTACCTACGAATTGATGCATATCCCCGGCCTGTGTCTGCGTATACGCGCACGCACGCAAGCACACATACCACACACACACACACATATATACATATACATATATATATATATATATATATATATATCAAGTATATGATTGGTGTATACGGAATAAATTCCAATAACCACAAAATACTATTCTTAAAAGAGTGCTCAATACAGATTAGAGCAAATATAATTTCTTTGAAAATTATAACAAATAAAATATGAATATAAAATCACTACAATAATAGCCATTTTGTTTCTACACTTCTGGTGTCTTATCACGTGATGATGTTGAATAAAGATCAAAGGGTTTTCAAAGGTTCAAATCGATAAAAAAAAAAAAAAAACCTCGTTCGTTGTCAAGCTGTTTGAATTCTCATATACTTGTATTTTGATTGATCATTCCAACTGATGGAATAGCGTTTCCCCTAGCGAGGTGTATTTGATTAATTCGAACCTTTAAAAACACATTAACCTACATTCAACAGTATCAATTAAGACAGTGTTGAAACAAAATGGCTATTTTTGTAGTGGTTTTATAACATATTTATGTTATAATTTTCGAATAAAATTATATATATATATATATATATATATATAGTAATGGTGATAAATACGTTGGTACAGTGTAACCCGGATATAAGAGTTGTCGGGACCGGAGAGTTGTTCAGGTTTCTCTTATATGGGACCGGAGACGAAGGCTCTAATTTGGGACCAGAGAAATATCTCGGGTTTCTCTTATATCCGGGTTTGGTCTATTTTATATACATTAACACAGGCTCTAATTTGGGACCAGAGAAAATCTCTTATATCCGGGTTTCCTTATATCCGGGTTTGGTCTATTTTATATACATTAACACAGGCTCTAATTTGGGGGACCATATCCGGGTTTCTCTTATATCCGGGTTCTCTATTTTATATATCCAGGCTCTAATTTGGGACCAGGGTTTATCCGGGTTTCTCTGATATCCGGTTTGGTTTATTTTTATATACATTAACACAGGCTCTAATTTGGGACCAGAGAAAATCTCTCTTATATCCGGGTTTCCCTTATATCCGGGTTTCTTATATCCGGGTTACACTGTATATAATTCAAGTGGGTAGAATATTATGATCCACAGAAAGGGCGCAATGTATTTATTATTATAGAGCATATAAATTAATACATAAAAAAAAATGCCAACGTTACCTCATAGACCTATTTCAACTGACGAAACAGTCCTCAGTTTATTCATCTCTGGCATATAGTCTGAATTCATGGCGGAATTAGAAATTTTACCGTGACATCTGTCAAATAACTAATACAAAATTTATCGATTTCAATGTTTCAGTCAGGCGAAAGGCTACAGATAATAGTCAGGAGAGGGTGGACGGTAGTAACCTTAAAGGGAAGAGATTTTATAAATTTAAACCCGGATATTAACCATATGACAATCAAATTGGGGTATATATATATATATATATATATATATATATATATATATATATATATATATATATATATGTGTGTGTGTGTGTGAAAATATATAGAAAATAGGAAAGATCTCGTTAGGAAAATAATCCAAAGTTCTTTATTATTTTTTTTGTTATTTTTTAAGAAAACAGTGCTCGATAAAAGTAGAGCCTAAATATAATTATTTATTTAGTCATATGATTCCTTCGCTACATAAGATTTCTCATGTTTCAAAACAAGAGCCGAAATCTTCATAATTGAAGTTTTCGGCTCTTGTTTTGAAACATGAACACTTATGTAGCGAAGGAATCCTTTTTAAATAAATAATTATATATATATATATATATATATATATATATATATATATATATATATATATGAGATTTTAATTTTCCGCAGAATTTGTTTTGTTTTATCCCAAAATATCTATTAACCGATGTTTCTGAAATTATCAGGATATATTCATGCTTTCTGTCCGAATTTCTGGGTTGATGAGTTATCATTATTGACACTATTCACATGCAGTCTATTTTCGTCATCATTGTTGTTTTTATCGACATGCATCTGATGAAGGCACAACTCCCGAAACGTTGTGATAACAACAAAAATTGACTACAAGTTGTGTAAATGCATTTATGCTTTAATTATAAATATTTTTGTCTGTTATCTCTCTTTACGATGTGGGCGATCATGGCTCACCACAGCTTCCTTTTCTTTAATATTTGTTAATTTACTTGTCTTACTGGGAAAGAATCAATGAACAGAGCAAAAGAAGAAAATTATTTCGTGTTGGTTTCATCGCTAATCTAAATCCAGATTCATCCTTCTCCTATAAAAGGGAGATGGAGAGACGAGTTCATGCTTTGCCCAAGGATATAAACACAAAGTAAACACAATCAGAATTTGAACCCGGTGTCCCGATTTTTTTTATCCACACCAAGAGCAATTAGGTTACATGAAACCTCCTAAAGAAATACTCTATGTGAATTTAAGTTTTAGGTCCTTGTTTTCTTTATATATATATAAAATTCATTGAATCTGATAGAAATCTCAACAGAATGCAGAAAGCACTGGACGGCCGTTTCATCCTATATTTGGGACTTATCAGCAGCGCGCATCCACTACCGAGAATTGAAACCCTGACAGTTAGGTTGTCAAGCAAACATCATACCAACTGTTCCAAATGGTGACGAAGAGATTGCAAATCAGACTCAACTAAGCGCCGCTCGCTCACATATTCCGTGGCGGAACTCAACTGAGTTCTCTGTAACCATAAGACTGTGCCCCCTGGAGCCACGACTACTATCACCAAGCCACTCACTCTAGAGCATTAGAATTCTCGGTAGTGGATGTGCACTGCTGATGAGTCCCAAATATAGAACGAAACGGCTGTCCAGTGATTTCTGCATTCTGTTGAGGTTTCTATCAGACTCGATGAATTAATTAAATATAATTATCAAATCCACCTAATAATTATTATCTGTATATATATATATATATATATATATATATATATATATATATATATATATATATATATATAAAAAGGACGCTCAGTCGTGTAATGGATAGCGGATTGGATTACTTGCTAATACACTTGGGAAAGGTGTGAATCCTCTTGTTCTCCTTCCGGCTATGGGAAAATAGCAGGGCAGACTGGGTTCTATAGCCTTAGATGGCAAGTGGTCTAGGAGAAGGACAACTCTGAATTCAAAACCTGCGAAGGGCCGTTTGGGGACCTTGTGGCACTTAGTGCAGCAGGTCTCTGCATTCGGCCCTTCAAAAAGTGTGGATGGTTCTGCACAAAACCTTCACCATTATAATCAAATTCATGTGCTGTTGTCGGATTGTCAGTTTTCTAAGAACTGATCCGATTGACCCCCCTATGTCAAAATATACTATTCTGAAAAGAGTGCTCAATATAGAGTAGAGCAACTATTATTTATTAAAAAAATATAACATAAACATATCATAACATCACTACAAAAATAACTATTTTGTTTCAACACTTTTAGGTGTTGAATGAAAAAATGTTATTCCTGCAACAACGTCACAGCACTCTCTCTTCCTTCAATAGCGACACCAAGAATCTTGTCTGTGAATATGAAAGGATCCAATTGAAAATAAATAAACAAAACTTATTATTCAATGAAACCTGTGTTAATGGAAACATGCTACCAAAATGGTTCGCAATATATCGCTTATCTATCATATTGATGACCTGTGATACTGCGAAACAGTCTGCGGATGACTATCTATCTATCTATCTATCTATCTATCTATCTATCTATATATATATATATATATATATATATATATATATATATATATAATTAAGCTAATTATTTATTGCAAAAAATTACAGCCGCCAATTTTATTGTTAAAATTAATAAATTAGGGCTTAGACCAACATTAAATAGAAAAATTATTATCTACGAATTTAAAGGTCCATTAAGAAATTGTGCTCCTGATCAATCAAAATTCGTAAACAATTATATTGGCCACACTACATCTTTGACAAGAAGACTCACTCTACACATTTACAACCATAGCTCAATTACTTCTCATTTAAATACTCATCGTATCTACTCTACTCATCGTATATACTCTACACATTTACGACCATAGCTCAATTACTTCTCATTTAAATACTCATCGTAACCTACCAGACTCTCTTCGCAATATACTTGTTGACAACACAAATATAATTGCATGGTCTACATGTAACAAGGTTAATAATCAGGGAAAAAGATGGCGTAAAAATCCACCGTTCGTAGCATTTACTTTAAAAAACGTGCTCAGTACAAAATAGAGCAAAATATTATTATAATATTTTTAATATAATTTATTAAGGAAATTGCCTGACGATCGCAGAGTCACAAACTCAAATCAATCGAACTATATATATATATATATATATATATATATATATATATATATATATATATATATATGTCTGTATATTAGGAAACAATTTTTTATTGATATAGTGTTTAATTAAACATTGGTTTTTATAGCTGAATTTTTCGTGTGCTCATAAGGGTGCATGTATTTTCTTAATGGGTCTAGATATTTTCCTAATATCTGTGATCGAGTGATTTCAACGTCACTTCTGGTTATTTTCAACATCCGTGGTTATGTATTTCTGTCGTCTTTCGAAGATTCCCGTCGTTTTAAATATCAGCGTTGAAGTTTATACTTTATGATAACGTCACAGGCAGGTGACTTGCTTAGAGAGTATCTTCAATTGATATGTGACGATACATTGCTTCAAAGAAATTTAGCGAAAAAAACCCCAAGAAACCGTCACAAGAAACA